TTTCGATTCACAACTCCGAAATCTCCCATAACTCGTTTACTGCACAATCGATTATGTGGAATGGTTTGCCTGATTTCATAATTCGTAATGCTTCTCAGTTTATTGCATTTAAAATAGCTGTGAACAACCACATACTTGTCCTCCAATTGCTTCTTCACAACATTGGTTTTGTTTAATGCACATAAATTATTTATTACATTGGTTAAATCTTTGTTATTTGATAAATACTCTTGACATCAATTTTTTAAATCTAAACAAACAATCTAATCAAAACTTTATTATATTTTAATATGATTACTTAACGACTGCGGTTTCATACCAAAAAGTCTTGGTCTTTTAATTTAAAACATCAAAATCTAATTAGTTTTCCACCGTATTAACCCCAATTCTACAAAATGTTGAGGATTAAACTGAGTACATTGGAATAAGTCGAAACAGGGAAACCTTTGTGCTCTGGGGATCAATAATGAGCTTAGGTCGTTGCCGTCTGGTTTGAGACGTCGATGAATCATCACTCCTTTAAAATTCTCCTTAGCATTTCGGTCTGAAACCGGACACAAACGCTCGGTTGTAACTTCGTTTGCAGATGTAAACAGTACTTAATTTGTTTGCGTGTTCCCGTTTCTTCGATTTACGGTGTAACTCATTCGCGATCGTTAAGTATCTATTTTCGTTAACGTCTTCATTTCGTTGAAACAATCTGTAAATGTGTGGGATGATTTTGAGAAAATAAAATATTTGCGATGTTATCGGTAAAAGATTTAAGATAAACCAAGTTCACGCTAGTAGACAATACATGGTCGCCTTAACATAAAGGATTTATTATGAGACGAAACAAATGTGGCTTGTGGTCGGTCGTGTAGGAGTTTCGGGATCGTTTCGTAGAAGGAAATCGATCAGCCCAGACTACGCCTTCCTTTTGTTTTGTTACACATAAAACGAGCTCTTTTGATCCTAGATCATAAACAACGTTGTTCGCGCCAAGGTCTAAAAAATCTTTCGTTTTCAATTGGGTTTCACCAAACTTATATATTACATTTCTCAACTCGTCTATGCCTCATATTTGAAGCATTATTTTGTTTTTACTTTAAGTTCCTCATTTAAGTCACATTTACGTTAACACATACAAAATCCTCCATCGAAATGTTAGTACTGGAAGCAGTTTTTAATTATTACAATTATAACTTGTCATTTTTAACGATTTTGAAGCTTTTTAACTGGTCGCGTGGGGTTAATTAAACACGATTCTATCTGACGAATATATTAACTTGGGGTGGAAGGAAAGACTGTAAATATAAGGTTGCTATGTAACCTTACTAAATTGCGAATTCGCGTTTATGACAAATTTAAATATAAAGTGAAGAATTAAACTTCGAAAATTGAACTAGGTTTAAATCAACAAACGCCAAAAATTACATTTTAAACTTAAAAGTTTGTCAGCTAACCTTGAAGATTAATAACAATCGCCCATAATTTAGTGTAAATATGAAATTCGGTATTTTATCTTGATACTATAATTATCATAAATGGTTAACACCTACGTCAAAATATACACTACATTTACATCTAAAATGACTGAACCAAACCGAGAAACTTTAATTTAAATTTAAAGTTATATTGGAAACCGTCGAGAGATCATAAGATACATGCCGATATATTTCAAAACAGCCGCTTTCGAAACAGCTCAATTATACGTAACTAGCAATCCATGACACCAACGATGCACAAAATTTTAAAATTTAAATTTAGACATATACAGTGGGTTAATAAAGAATTTGAACACCGTACATTTACGACGTACAGATATGCTGAAATAATCATACATTTGTTTACAAGATTATTATAAAACATTCTAAACTAAGGCACTATTAAAACAAATATTGTATTAAACAAAAAAAGGAAACCAACGTATTTAAACACAATTGACAAGAAACCCAAAATATCGGTTGACCGAAACTTGCGATACTTTTGCCACATAAACAAGACAAAAGTTTATAATAAGGGATGAATATAAGGATTAATGGTGTAAACCTCGAACAGGTCAACCGAAACATCGAATGCCTTCACTGTAAAAAGATTTTATACGGACCTGTCTGATTAAAATCGAAATTCTAACAATGAGATATTCCTTGAGATAACATCTAACAGCTTGTTTTTCAAACCATTACAAGCAACAATGTGGTGATAATTCGTAAAGCTGAATAAAGAGGAACCTTTTTTAAGGTAAACACCATAATAAAACACTTTCAGTTTTAATGAACTCAGATTTAATGTTACTTAACTGAAATGTTTTCCCAACATATTTAATGCAACAGACTAAAAATTTTCGGCTTAATCATAATTTAATGAATAACATTTGCTAACATCTGGAAGCAGTATTTTGTTACTGCAGTGATATTGAATCATCAACACAGTTCCTTCATTTATTTCAGCAATTTCCATAACAAGTCATTAGGTAGCGCATATTCACTATTTGTTTTACTGCGGTAAAAACCACAACAAAATGAAAACATTATTGTAACTCATTACTTCCTTCATTTTCAACTTCATTTTTGTAATCTCCTGCGTTGTGAATTTTGAACTTTCAGATTACAATTGGATTGATTTGAAATTCCACGTAAATTGGCAAGAAGATTCCCTAAAATATTTTTCTACTTTCTAGACTTGTTGAACCTGAGGACCTAGAAGTGGCAAAAATCCCATATTTTGCACTTATTCACTCAATAGTTACTTAAATAGAAGTAGTGATGTCAGATATTGGAACGGTAGTTCAATCATCCATTATGTACAGCATGGCGAAGATTACCGCCATATTTTTATGTCATTAAAGGTTTTGACAGTTTTTTTTGGTTAGGGGGTCTAAATGTGGTAGTGTTCTTCAATGCATATAAATAAAAGACTGGTTATTTAAATGGAAAAGGTTGTAGGAGAGTACCAAAGTGGATTCCGGCTAAATAGATCAACGTCGGACCAAGTATTTGTTCTACGCCAGATTTTGGGGAACGGCTTAGAGCACAACATCGACACATTCCATATGTTCATCGACTTTAAGTCCACTTCTGACATCATCATACAATATTCCAAGAGTCATGCCAAATAACTACTTTACGTATCTTGGATATAGCGCGAACTCGAAGAATAACTGAAGCTTAGAAGTTCAGTATATCAAAATACTACAAGTTTGTATGCAACAAACACAGAAAGAGAATGTTGAAAACTTACGACTTCATCGACGGATTAAGATCTCATAGTATTAACTCCTTGCCGCACCTCGTCTTAAATATGGCATCCTAACAAAAAAAAATTCAAGTGTGACGAAAATTTTCTCATATTTGACACAATCGCTTTTACACATGCAGTGTAAGCACGGTGGCTTTGAAAAAATGTCGATCACAAGGTAACTTTCTTCTTCTTGATATCATTGAAGATGTATTTGTTATAATGAATCAGCCAATCTTTGATGTTTGTAAGACTTGTGTCATATCTGGCACTATTCGTGCTAGTAGGTAAGAGTATTTTTGTGATGTGATTTGTTGTGTGCTTTTATGCTTTTTTAATAGTGAGTTAATACGACACACATACGAAAGTGAATATGATATAATTTTGATGAATTTAATATCATTAGTGAAAATGAAGACGACATTGACGTTGATATTATTAAGGAAACAGATATTGAGCGGACATGGAAAATGATTTGTTCTCTACATTGGTACACGCAAAAGGTCAACAGAATAATAAAGATACCGTATGAAATCTAGCATCTACTCCTCATGGAAGATAAAAACAAATAAAAGAAACGCCGTAAACAAGTTGCTATTAGAAGAAACATTTTAAAAGTTCCAGGGATGTGACAAAATTCAAAGGTAACAACACTGCCTGATGTTATGACTCAAATGGATCAGCAATTATTTACTTTTGAAACAGATATGTATGCAACCCAACAAAGACCTGAAAGACAAATCTGCATTTCAGCAGAAGAAATAAGTACTTCTGTTGTTATATGTATTTTTATGTCAATTCTATGTACATTTGCCAGCTACCAGAAGCTACTAGGGCACTCAATGGAAATTCCTTTTTGATAACTGGATTAGTGAAATACTACCTTTTGGAACAATTCGAACGTATCGAATTCTTTATTGCCAACTACTTAAATAATTAGAGTTGAAAAACAATAATTTGATAACAACCGTTTCAACATACATGGTAAATCACAGAATAAAGTCGAAAATATTGTATTTGAAATATGGCGTAACTTCTGTGGAGAAAAGGTAATCTAAAATTGCAACTCAGGAAGTTCGAAATCATCTATCGGAATGGAGAGACCTACAATGTTGCACATACCACAGGAATTTTTTTTACTTTTTGCGAAAAATGCAAAGTTAAGTTTTGCCTCAATAAGGACTGAAACTGTTTTTATAATTTTTATGCAGAATATTTTAAAATTGTTGATATATTTATGTTAGCATAAGAAAAAATGAGCGATGAGAGGTTAATAAACAAAATTCGATTCGTTACGATTACTTCAAAATTAAAACAGCTAGATTACGGAATTTTTCTTTTGATAAATTTTATGGTATCATAATCATTTTGAGATTATCTTCCACGAAACTTAAATCTCTCATTAAGCAATTTTTCGCTTTCCGAACATCGAAAAGTTGTCATAGTACTAATTTAGAATTCTCGGACGTGATTTAGACGGAGTTTGAACAAAATACTACAAGTTTTAAAAGAAATTAAAACTTCATTTTAAATCTAAATTAAAAATATTTACTTGTTTTCGTAAACAAATTAATGTGAAAGCAGAAAAATATTTATGTCTAACACTTCATTGAATTCTTATTTTTAACGTACTCACGGGTTGTTTCCTATGACTCATTTAGTAAAAAAAAATAAAACTAGTTCGATTTAAGAATTTTGTAATAAAATTCTTATTGAATCATATCACTAATCTATATAATCTTATGATAATATTCTATAAGATAGATTAAAAAAACAATTACCTCATATTCGTTGTAAATATCATAAGTCGTGACACTTTTACTGATACTAATACAGTTCATCATGATTAAATAAATTAATTAATAAATCATCAATATCGAGAAAACTACCGGAGACGAATTATTAGAAACCCCATAACGTTCGTGACACTTTCTAACCCGTAAACGTCGTTTCAATGCGGGATTTCAAAGCACTCCCGTAGCGTTTTCGACGATCCACTATATTAACCAGAAGCGAAAGGAAACCGATTCTTGGATTATAAGTGCACACACGACGACGGTACAAAAAGAAATTGCTCACCGGTGGAGGATTGATAAATTGAAACTGCGCGAAATTAAGATAACGCTCAATCCCCATCTGTTTTATTTATCAGAAGTATAATTGAAAACGAACTTAACGGCGATTGAAGCATTAGCACGTTAATGGAAACGATTAATTGTCTTCGAATTGGTTTTCTATTTCACCAACGAAGATTAGTTTAAAAGAAACCATAAAAACGCAAAGAATGTTGGTATTTTTACCTTTTTGTATAATACATTTTTTTAAATTTATTAATTTATTGCACTTCACATAAATAATAATCACGATTATTAAGGAAAACGAATCGCAAAAAATTATTTTAATAAATAAATAAAACGCGTATTAATTCACGGTCGAATATTTGCCATCGCAAAAGAGTTGCGAATCGCTTCGATCCGAGGTAAAGACTGCAAGGAAGGATGACCATGGAAGAGAACGAGTCGACGCAAGCAAGAGGGGCGCGTCCAACGGTTCGAAATCAAGAAGATGAAGTGGTGGGATCAACATTCATATACAGGGTGATGATTAGTATCCCAGCGGTTTATAGTTACTAAATCGTTTGAGAAAGAAATAACTGTTTTATAGAAAAGTTGTTTGACTCACCTCTTTATTTTCATTCATACAGAGTGTTGTATTTAGACGTGACGGAAAGTATGTAAATTTGTTTAAATGGAAGTTCCTGTATATTTTATCATATTATGAATACAACTAAATTTGTTTATCCAACCGTATAATATGTCGCGTTAATAGTTCCTGAGATATATAATTATTTTTTCCAAAATATGTCCGTTGCAGGATATTTTTAAAAGTATGTAAAAATGACATTTCTGCCAATTTTGCCTATAAAGTACGTCACATAATAGTTACATCCAAAGATATTAGATACATACAACAGGGGATGTTCATACAAACTTGGACATTTTTCAAATGGCTTTTCATTTCATCAAGGTCCATTTAAATTATGTTAAGTATGTCAGTTGTATTCATAGTATGATAAAATATACAGGGCGACTCATTTAAAAAACACCTGAGACTTTCGCACTTACGTACTTCCTTGTACGACTTAGTACGAACGGTTTCCAATAGATGGCGCTATAGTTGTACAAACAAGTAAACGAATTCGGGGAAGTCCCCTTAACGTTGTGATGTTAAAAGTGATACACACAGTATAGTATTTAAGAGTGTTTTTATAACGGTTTTAACAAAGTTTGCAATGGACGGTAAGAAGAAAAATCATAAATCGATTAATTTGGCCTAAGTCAATTATACAAATTAATGTTCTAAAAGTTTATTTAATGATTTAAAAGCCAAGAAAGAGGAAACAACGGAATATATCACATTTGTTGCTAATCATGGATGGTTTCGAAAGTTTAAGAAGAGGTCAAATTCACATAACATCGAAGTGCAAGGGAAAGCAGCTGCTGAAGACACTGAAAGTGCAACTAAATTTGTTGAAGATCTAGAAAAAAATATAAGAGAGGAAGGCTATACTTCTGATCAGATTTTTAACGTTGATGAGGCAGGTTTATTTTGGAAGAAAATGTCTGCAAGAACAGTCTACGCCAGGTTACAAAGCAGCAATAGACAGACTAACACTCTTATTGGGCAACAACTCCTTAGGCACTATGAACTTGAAACCAATGTTAATTTACCAGAGCGAAAACCCTAGAAGCCGGAAAAACTATGATAAGTTTAGTCTTCCTGGTCACTGGAGATCTAACAAGAAAGCATGGGTAACCGCAGTTATTTTTCAAGACTAGTTTAAAAACTGTTTTGTACCTGAGGTTATTACGTATAGCAAGATTTCATTTAAGATTTTACTGTTAATAGACAACACCCCTGGTCTTCCTCAAACATTAAATGAACAATCCCACTTCTATACTCAACATATGGATCAGAGTATAATAGCCACCTTTAAATTAAATTATTTAAAACGAACTTTTTGCCGATGTATAAGCAGCAATAGATAAAGAAAAAAGCAGGGGCCGCGAGATCTTAGGAACTTTTTGGAAGGGTTTCCACATTTTAGATTATATTAAAATAGTGCGACATGCTTGGAACATATTAAGGAAACAACAATACAGAAAGCTTGGAAAAAGTTATGTCCAGGGATGAACACAATCAACCATAATAATGGGCAAGATTGTAGAAATGGCAAAAGAGCTAGATAGATCTCCTTGCTTCGCATAATAGATCTCTGACAACAAAGATCTGTTAAATGTTGAAACGCAACAAGTCAACAGTGGAGGTAATAACGTATACTTCTACAAGCGTTTGAACACCTTGACAAAGTAATGTCCCATTTTGAATAACATGATAGTAACTTTGAAAGAAGTTCAAAAGTTAATGTAAACCTATCGAATGCTTATGCTTGTTATAAAAAAATCTACAAAGAAACGAAAAAAACCGCAACACAACGAACTCAGGACAGCTATTTCCACGCAAAATCTATACCATCAATTAGGATTAGTCTTAAAATTAATTTTTATTGTGCATATTTTTGGTTATATTTCTAAAATAAAAGTTTATTTTGTCTTTACATCCTTTAATTCTTGTTTTAAAGCCTGCACTAATACAAAATATTTCTCGTGCTTTTTCACTTCACGTATACGCATTCACGGTCCCCATTAAGTACATAAATCAAGGTGTACTGTTTTTTCGCGAATTTGATTTAACGCGGTTCAAGAAATTTTAACTTAGAAGAATTTTCTTACTAAAATTTCGTGCACATGCAAACAAGCTAAATCGTAATCTAAGAATACCCCATATCCATCTACAACCAGATTAAAGAAGTGGAACCACAAACGTTAGTCCAAAACAGAACCAAATATGAATTTTCTGTATGTATGAGTTTGGTGCAATGTATAAAGATTAAGGGTGAAATTGGAGATGATTTGGCATTTAAAGAATTTCCTGCAGAATTAGCTAAGATAATTGAAAATGGTGGTACACTTTAGATCAGGTATGGAATACAAATGAACTAGATCTTTTCTGAAAACGTATGCCAAGCAAAATATACATAGCTAAATCCCCAGTGAAAACAGGCAGTGGGTTTAAAGCAACCAAATACCACGTAACTTTTTTATTTTGCTCTAATGCGTCACGAGATCGGATATTAAAACCCTTACTTGCAAATAGAGTTCTAAAACCACGGTCTATGAAATGTATAAATTTAGACACCTTACCAGTTTATTGGACAGCTAATAAAAAAGCTTAGATGACCACTGAAACTTTTAATGCATGCTTTCTCAAATATTTTGTTCCAGAAATTCGGCGCTATATGAATGATAAAGGCCTTGAATTTAAGCTTTTGTTGATTATAGGCAAGCACCTGGTCATCCACATATAGAGCAGCCAAATGTTGAATTTTGTTTCCTTCCGCCAAATACCACATTCTTGATACAACCACTGGACCGAGGAATTATTGCAACCTTTAAGACCTATTATGTAAAGCAAACATTTAGATACATTTTAGATCAATTAATGAATGATAAAATTAACAGTGATAGATGCATGCAAGAAATTTTCTATAAATGACTGCATGAAACGCGCTGGAGATCATTTTGGCCAGATTGTGTAAAAAATAAAGGTTATGTGCCTTCTAATACGGTTGTCTTCTAATACAATGTCAAAAAATCTAATGAAAATGATAACGAGGTTACATTTACTATACCCTACATAAACGAAAATAACTTTACATAGAAAGTGTTGAGTCAAACAACTTTTGTATAACACATTGTTTTATCGACTGCCGAGATACTAATAACTCACCCTGTATAAAATAGGAAATTTTCCATAAATTTAAAAAAAATAAAGAGGTTTAGATAAAAATACGAAAAGAAAAAAAAAAGATTTAAGTTTCATAGTTCTATTTGAATTTACATAATGATAGATTGAAAATTTAATACAAAGATATAATTCGATTTTTTGTGGTTGATATCAACGCAAACAAGATTATCATCACAAAGTACATATCGAAATGTAGTGTTTATGTACTACGTTAAATAAAAAGTTTCAAAAGAGACTATTTATTCGGGATCAAATCGGATTTATTTATAATACACTTCGGAATAAAATAACATTACTATACTTAAAACGTGAATTACTAAAACATTTACTTCGAAAATAAATATAAAGATGGAAATAAAACGATTCGTTATAAATCGTGGTAGCATTTAAAAACATTCACGCTTGTTACAATAAAAAAAATTATTATCTTATCAATATACAAATATATAGTTGGGAAGGGCAGATATAATGAGAACTTTAAGTAATGAAGACATTGCTCGGCTAAATTTGATCACACAAATAGATTAACCTTGAATAGGTGTACAAAAATACATTGTTTTCAACAAGCTAAATCACCAAAAGTTGGTACAACGTCAACAGAAATATTTCGTATCAACTCAACTTAATCATTAACTTTCCAGTACACAATCATACTTAGAAGTGATTAATCTTAAAATTTATTATCTGAATTTATATAGAATATCTTCTGCAGACGCACAGCTAAATCCGAAACTTTACTGTTAGGTAGTTCTAGTTATAGTTCAATAAAAATATACAATAATCTAACGCTAAATAACAACTAAAAGTAGAGGTAACACTAGTACTAGCACTAACACTATACCAAGAACTAGAAACATTTGTGTTTAGCCTTGCGTCACTTAAGATGGCTAAACCCGAATATTTCTAGTTCTAGGTCTTGCGTTGGTTCCAGTTTTAGTTCAATAAAAATATACAAAATCTAACACTGAATAACAACTAAAACTAGAGATAACACCAGCACTAGTACTAATTCTTTTTAAATTTGCTTTGCAAAGACCTTGAAATAACCTTGAAGAACATGTTATATGCAAGTCGATGGAAAAGTTCTAGTCCTATGAAGCGATGTAAGGTGTAGAAGTATAGTGAATTGTCTGCAAATATATGTAAGTCAATAGGAAAATCTGTTAAAAGTACATAAAGAAAATCAAAAGGAAATTGATCGTATAATATACCAAAAAGTAGCTAATATTGGTCTCAAACGATCTTCTGAAGATAACTTAATTATCTTAAAGCCAGTATCCGTGTGATTTGACAAATTGCAAAAAAAAAGCGCTTCTCTATCTCATGCCGTAAAAGTGTGGAAGGAATTAGGAAGTGCATTTGGGGAAAAATTGGAATTATCAATG